CCACCCCAATGAGAGAATTCAGTGAAGGCTCCACAGCCAAGGAACTCTCTAGTATAAATTATTCCTCTTTAGGGAAATATGGCTGCAAAACCTGTCTCTCCGAGCATAGCAACATGTGTGCAATCAGTCACACGCCGATAATACTTATTTTTTCATGCAAGATTGGCCATAACCATCTTTGTCGTACTAGGCAGAAGTCGAGCATTTTTGATGTATAGCTTCAACAACACACAAGACAGTGCTGTAGTAAACACACTTGAGAATGTCAAGATCAAAACTACTTAAAAAATGTAAAAGCAACAAGTGCTAGCCTAGCAATCTCTTTTACCACGCCTACCAAGTACATTAGGAGCTTCAAAATGAATATGATATCACTGAAATGACACTTTCATTTTTCAGGGTCAACATCAGAACCCGAGATTCTGGGCATCCACGATTAACACGGACAGTGAAAACCGGGAATGGAAGGTATGGCTCACACTTAACGCTGCCCTTTTTCCTGTGGTGACATTGCAATAAGCAATCCAGGGAATGCAGTTAAATTACAAACTTCCCTTAGGCGTTAAAATAAGAAGTTAGCATGTGACAACACGAAAGTGAAACTCTTTATCCAGTTCCAAAGCAAGTTTAGCAAAACTGACCCAAAGCAATTTTTCCATAGATTAGAAGTGCCAGAAAGGACTACTGTGACCTAAACTTCAGTGAACTGATCGGTTTGAATGATCACTAACCTCTAGGAAAAAATATAAAAGGCTGGATTAAAAAACAAAACACGCAGCCTCAGCCTGAACACAAGCAAAAATACACGTTTCTAGCATTGAGAAGCCTCCCAACTAAACTGTATACAAGAAAGCTAACCCAGTAAATGGAGCTCCCTGCCCCTGCTTTAAATGGCATTAGACCCTCATGTTAAGGAGGGTATATTTTTGAGAGAAGGAATCACTGACAAGTTTTGGTAACTGCACTCTACGCAAAAAAAAGACAAATGAGGAAGAACAGAGAGCAATCTGTTGTTAGCTTAGGATAGCAGTGTCTTGCTAGGGAAAGTATCATCCTCCCAACCAGGCCGCTGCAACGGCGGGCAAGAGAGAACGAGGAAATAAACCGGGTGATGGCAGCAGCGTTTAGGCTGCCACGTGCTTTTAAAACCGTTACTCCAATACACTGTAATAACTTTTGGCGTGTCTTTACTGATGCTGCGTAAAGAGCAGCTCGAGGAGGCACGTCTTCTACAACAGGTTACCCCGATCGCACCAGCGAGCATTTCAGGGGGGAAAAAAATATCGATTAGATTTCACTGGAGTCCTCGTGCAGCCGTTTCCGACGGGAAGGCCAAGACATCCTTTTAATAAACTCTGCGCTTAGGTAAGCCGAGCCATCCTGTTCCATGGAGAATTGGTTCTTCGCCCAGAATCGATGTCACGCAACAGGCAGCCAAGCGCAGGCGCGGCATGGCACGGCACACTGGGCTCTTTCTCCCGCCGTGGTAACAAGTGAGCCCCTGCCCCTGGGGGCCGTGGCGGTGCCACCCCCTCCCGCTCACGGGGAGGGCGAGGGCGCACCCAGCTCCCCTGCTCGGAGCGCCCAACACAGCTCTCCCCCAGCTACCCAGAAGCCTTTGCGGCACCTCAAACCTCCCATAGGCCTTTGCGGTGTGCCTCCGGTTACCCAGAAGCCTTTGCAGAGCACCTCAGGCCTCCCATAGGCCTTTGCGGCGCGCCTCAGGCCACCTCCTGCGCTCCAGTCAGACCCGCCCAGCGAGCGGGGCGCTGGCCGCGCTCACCCCAACCACCACCGCCCTCGCCCGGTCCTGGCGCCCTGCCGGCCGCGTGTGAACGGGCGCCGCCCCGCCGCGAGTCACCTTCATTGCCGTCGCCGTCGCCTCCGCACCCGGCGGCGCCTCGGCCCCCCGCCCTGTCCGCCGCTCCAACGGGCCGCCTCACGGAGGGCGGGACCTGCCGCCTCCCCGCCCCTCGACCAATGGGGACGAGCGCTTCCACCCCGGTGAGCCAATGGGGGGGAATTCCGCCGGCTGAGCCAATGGGGGAGAAGGACGGGCCCATTCGCCCCGGAGGGAGGATCCATTCAGTAGCAGCGGTTGGGGGGGAGCCAGCTATTGAGCCGCGGGACAGGCGGGAGGCCAGTCTGGGCAGCTGCTGCCGGGCATGACGTCAGCGGTGACTAGGCAGCGGGACTGTGACGTCAGCAGCTCCAGAGCGTAGGATTCCAATTGAGCCCTGCCCGTCCCAGGGCTGGTTGTAACACGCACTGGCTGCGTGGCCTCGGGCACGTTACTTATCCTCTGGCTTTTCTTGGTGGGATCACGGGTGTGGAGGAACCTCCCCTGGCTTAACTTAATGTGACTGCCAAGTCCTTGCAATGCTCTTTACGGCTTTGTGTGGACCGGGGCTTATCCCTGACCTGCTCCACGCTGCACTGGGGACACACCCTGCCTGCAGCCCACGCAGCCATGCTGGCAACACCACTAGTGGGGGCACAGTGCTGCCAGAGGCACCTGCTCCTGCTGTCAGTGGGAGCAGCATCAACAGCATCCTCTACTGACAGCTGCCGCCACAGTCAAAGCAGGAACAGCCATCCTAGTAGGGATGAGAAGAGGCTAGATGATGATGTTGCTGTTAGAGAGAGAGCAGAGGGGAGGCACTTCACTGATACATTATTCTCATCCCCTCTAGCAGAGTTCACAAGGCATTGAGCTGTAGCAGCCTACCTATTCAGCCGTCAGCAACACTGCAGTGCCAGCAGAGGCCGGCCGCCTGTCTCGAATCCTGAAAAGTGCATGTTTTGCAAGGGACAGTTTATGCATTTTATATCCCAGCATTATGGGATGGCAGACAGGTGTCAGCTGGTGTACAGCTGCATGCGAGTAAGCTGGGGAAAAAGGCGGGGCTCCATGCTCTCCTACACTGTTACAGCTAATAAGATTAATGAGTTGCACTCCCTAGCCTGGCAGATGAGGCTCTTCTGCTATTTCTGTTCGTTCACAATCCTAATAAAATGATGTCAATGCTCTTAGGTTGCTGGGCAGAAAAAAAAACAACCACCACCAAAGAATGAAAATAAACAAGGAAAATATTACTTTTCTCCCTTCACTCAACACTCAAATTGCTTTTTGCACAGATGAATTAAAAAGAGGCTATTTCACAGAACACAGGCTGTATGGTATTGCTTTGCCTTCCAAGGTTAATTCTGCTGTTTGACAAAGGATAGTACATGACATTGCTCAGGACAGCATCTCTTAACGCTAAATCAATTATAATGATACAGTGCACACTGATACAAGCATTTTATAAATACATCTTCAAACTCCTACCATCATTGTGAAAGTTAAAGGCTCAATCCTGCTCTCACTGAAGCTGATGGGTATTTTGCCAAATTTTATTAAGGGAGCAAGACTGCACCCTAAGCAATTCATATTTTTAAACCAGGCATATTTTTGTAGCTGGCAAATTCAGTAGTAGTGTAAGTGGGTGTGGCTGCAACCCAGGAAGCCCATTATATTATACAAATTTACATCAGAGCTCAATTTGTCTCACTGGCTAGGAACCAAGTTTTCAAGAGTGGCCAGTGCTTTTGTGTTCCTCAGGTTTTTCAGTGGCCGGTTGAAAAGGTCTGTGATCTCCAATTGAAGCTGCAGGAGGGAACTGCACCAGAATAATTACCCCGATTGGAATCTGGCCAGAACTAAGATTAACAACTACTCTTGCAAAAATCAAACATGTAATGACAATGAAAGTGGGATTTATAACTCATCTAAAAGACAAATGATAAAGAACCACAGGTGGGGGAATATGACAGCTGGTGTACAAAGGTTAATTGAACCTGTATAGAGCATATCTGAAAATGATTCTTAACAGAGGTGTGTTGACAGACAAAATAATGAGGTACTAGGACAACGGCTTGATATTCAGAAAAGAACCATTTACCATTAATGATAGTCCTGAGGGCCTTGATGAGCAATTTACAAGTAAGACATCCCAATGACGGCATGATCATAATACATTGTTTCCTTTCTCTTGGTTGGCAGTGGGTCAGCAGTCATGTCGTGCCAATCTTTAGTACCTGGCCCACAGGGAAACTAACGATCCTCCTACCGAGCCGAATCTGGGAACTTTTCAAGGAACGGGGGTGTGACTGCCACTGATCAGCCAGGCGTTGTGCGGTCGTTGTGCCACTGGGCCTGAGCTGCGAATCGCACAACTTAACCTGGAGGGTCTGTCAGCTGCCTTTTTCTTCCCCTGAGCAGTTCATGCTGGCAAAGAATATTGCAAGACCTGTACCTTGGCTGCTGTTTAAAGCATGCATCGGGAACCATGGAAACCGAAGTCCCATTTAATGCCTGCTGACTGAAACAAGATTGTGCTTTTTTTTTTTAACCATTAAATCCCCACAGGTCTCTTGTAGTCAATAAGAGAGGCGCATCCCCAGCGGTCACCGGCATGAATGAATGCACAGATCCTCTTGATCTTCCCTCCAGGAAGAGCACACACCAACTGCTGAAACTTCCTTAGCCGGAGGAAGGGTTTTTGAACCCGAAAGCTTGCTTAATAACTATTCTCCAACTATTTGGGTTGGTCTAATAAAAGAAATCAGAGTCACCCAAGGAACCTTGTCTGCCCAGATCCTCTTGAGCCACTTCCCAGGGGGGTCTCTAGTCTAGACAGTGTCTTGTTTGACTCTAACACTTCACTCTCGGGGACATTTCAGATGCAGCTAACTCAGCAGCGGGAGGGGGAGTTCCGGGGACAGCCCTTGCGGTTGCACTTACTGTCTCGCGTGCAAATTAAAGCCTGGTTCAGAGCGGAGTTGATTTCCCAGCGCTACAGGGGGCTGGACGGCCCTTCCCCCCGCGGCCCCCTCCCGCCGCGCGCGTGTTTCCGCCCGGCGCCCAAACGGCAGCGCACCGCGCGGCGGCCGGCTCGCCCTGCGGTTGGCTACCCTCGCCGCCACGTGACCGCCGCCGCCGGCCCCGATTGGCTGCTTCGGGGAGGCCGGTTTCCCAGGTGACGGGCGAGCGGCGAGCAGGCCCGGCCATGGCCAGCGTGCACGAGAGCCTGTACTTCAACCCCATGATGACCAACGGCGTGGTGCACGCCAACGTCTTCGGCATCAAGGACTGGGTCACCCCTTACAAGATGGCGCTGCTGGTGCTGCTCAGCGAGCTGGGCCGGGCGGGCGCGCAGCTCGGCCTGCTGGAGCGGCGGCGCCTCAACCGCCTGCTGCTGCCGCTGCTGCAGGTCGGCGCGCCCCGTGACAGGAAGCGGGGCCCAGCGTCCCCTCACGGACGCCCCCTGAGGGGGAGGGGGGAGTCTGTGAGCACCCCCTGAGGGGAAGGGGGCCCCCCAGCGCCCTCTGAGAGGAATGGGGGGGCCTCCAGCGTCGCCTGAGGGGAGCCGAGGGGGGATCCCAGCATTGCCTGAGGGGAGGGAGGGACTCCCATTGCCCCCTCAGCTCCCAGCGCTGCCTGAGAAACAGGGGGCTCTGCCTGAGGGGGGGGGGGGGGGGGGCGGCGCGCCCGCCTTCCCTTCCCCCCGTTTGGCTCGCCCAGGGTCCTGACATGTCGCTGTCCCGGCTGCGCAAGGCTATCGAAGAGTCGTGCCCCAACCTGGCCAGCTCCGTGCACATCAGGTAGCCTGTCCTCTGCCTGCTGCCTTGACCTGAGAGATTAACCCGGATGCCGCGCGTCCTTGTATAGCAGCTAAATCGTAGCCTGCCCGTGCGAAAGCCTTGTTGGCGCTGTTAGGTGTGACGTACGAGATAAACCCTGGCTTTTCACCTAGGAATCCATAGTGTCCAAAACGCCCTGCCCTGTTGCGGTCCAGGTCTTTGCAACAGGAGCATTGCTGTATTGTTTTTCTGTCGTCAGAAAAACGGGGGAAACTAAGGTGGCGTTTTTTCTGAGCTGCCTCGAGTCTAACGAGGTTGAGAACCGCAGCGCTCGTACTACGTGTGCGAGGCCAGTCTGCACCTAAATAAAGTATGCTGCTGCTGGCCCGGCCTGGGTCCCAACAAGTCATTTTGCTCCATGCACGGCACTTACACGGACAGGGAAGTTGAAGCAGAAGCTTCCTTTTTAAAACTTTCTTTAGCTTCGTGAATCAGGCTCTGGAGAACTATGAAAATCATACAGAGGTTTTCCATTTTTATTTTTTTTTAGTATGCAAGTTTCTCATTAGAGGTCAGTAACTTATGAGCGTGCTTGGTCAATACACTGAAGTTTTTTTTTCCTTCAGCCGCGGTTGTCAAACTGTTCCCTGGAACCCCGGGGTTCTGCAGGGGATGAAGTGAATTTGGTTTCATATTCATAAAACCTTGTGCTTTCTCTACATCTTATTTAGTTCACCTGTGAAGATGCATATCTACCCGGCATTTTCAGTAGGGTTCCAGAAAGAGATCGGGGGGTAATGGCAGAACGGGCTGGGGCAGACGGCGTGCCACCGTTGTCGGGCCGGGACACCTGGCTCCACGTCAGTTCACGTGGCCCACGGAGCCAGGGGTAGGGGATCCAGGGCGGAAGACGTGATAGGAAAGGGTTCTGTGACTTTAGGAAGTTTGGAAATCACTGCTTTAAGGACCTGTTTTCTTAGAGAATAGAGAAAATATGGAAAAGCAATATAGAGTTTATCACATTTCTCCGGTACAGAAATTATCGCTCAAACTATGTTCAGCCTGTTGCAACGTGACTCTCAGCATACATATCTTTCCAGATGAAAAAGCAATAGCGTATGAATGATTTGTGAAATGAATCCGTTATCTACAGAACAGAGAAACATTTTTCAACTAGAAATCATATAAGTGAGCTAGTAACCATTTATTGATAACTAATGTTTGGGTCTTATTCTTTCTACATCTGAGTTAAGGTAGAGTGCTTTGTGTGCGTACACATGTACATGCACAGTATGGGAAAGGGTTTTTAAAAAAGTTCCTTTCTTCTGTTTAGGATAAAATTAATGGCAGAAGGAGAATTGAAAGATATGGAACAATTTTTTGATGATCTGTCAGATTCATTTACTGGAACCGAACCAGAAGTTCACAAAACAAGTGTAGTGGGTAGGTCATTATTATTACTATACTTTGTTCAAAGAATCTGTTTGGAAAGGAAAATGTGTGCATCTTAATTTGTATATTTGAAAAACAATTACAATTCCTTTTTTTTTTGGCCAATTTTTAATAAAGCTATATAAAGATAATACAATCACATGTTTCAGGCTAACAAATAATTTTACAGCACCATCTGTGGCTGTTGCTGGTATTAGGAGTTCTATGATCAGATTTATCTGTTGAATGGGGCCTTAGGTTCATTGAAAACCTGTTTCTCTAAAGTAATGAGGCAGTAAATACCTATTTGTTGGGCTGGGGCACTGAAATAAAGCAAAATGCAAGTTTGCGCTCCTACTTGATGGCAGAACCAACACGAAAATACTACTTCCACTCCCTGATTTAAAACTCCTCGGTACCGCAGTTAGATATCATAACAAACATTTTCCTTTTATAGGTCTGTTTCTGCGCCACATGATCTTGGCATACAACAAGCTTTCATTCAGTCAGGTCTATAAACTTTATACTGCACTTCAGCAGTATTTTCAGAATGATGAGAAAAAAACTGGAATTGATGAGACTGATATGGAGCTCACAAATACTGACGAACTGGAAGGGAAAATGGAAAAAGAAGAACTTGATATACCTCTAAGGTGATTATAGAAAATATTATAAAGTCTTTCAAACCCTGCTGGACAACTAGCCAAGTTGCTTAACTCGGGATGGGCTGTTACTTACAGTGGTCTGTATTTGCTGTAATGCTACTCTGAATTAAACAAAGACATCAGTAGCCCCAGTCTCAGAGCTACATTAGGTCGGTGTTTGATGTTTAAGCTGTATCTTTGCTAGAACTAGAAATCATTTTCAGAATTGTTTCTTGAGTTGTAGATTCATGAAGTAACCAGTATTTTCATGTTGAAATCTAAAACTTAAACATATTATCTGTTAATTCTTTTTAAAGACCAGAATATTGCAGGTCATTGCAATAACCTAGATTACCGAAGGAAGGGAAGTTTGTGCCCAAAAACCTGCCTGACTTCTTCCTCAATTTTATGGTCAGTCCAGAAGAAGACATCACAAAAAAAACTTTGTCTCTAATGTCATGGTCCATTTTTTCAGACTGTTCCCAGGTAGTGTTGAAGTGGTCAGTCTAATATCCTGTTGCCACCAAGTGGTAATGCTTGTGAACTGCAACTCTTAAATCTACAATAATTCTGTTTGCAAATGTCACTGACTGTTGGCTCTAGCACTTTCCCTCACTTTGATTTAATAAATTCTCTGATTTTTCTTTAAAAAGGAAAAGAAAAAAAAGACCCATGTGCAACGACGAGGATTTTAATGAGTTAAAAATTATATCTTATGTTAAAATAGCCCTTAAGTACAATTATTTTTTCATATACACATTTAAATTATATTTGCAACTGTCAGGCTCTCCAATGAGTCTGCACTCTTCCAGCCTACCTGAAAGCTAGGAATCTAGCTAATGGGTGGTAGGAGTTTTGTTTTTGGTAGACAGCTACTTCTCTCGGCTTTCGCAGAGCAGTTTTTTGGTGGGAATTAATTTTGCTTTCTAGAGTGTCAGTGTGACTCTGTGTGCCTATCTTAGAGAGGATCAATAGCACAAAGCAGCCTTTACCTTTCATCCCAAACCTATCTTGTTCCTCTCTTAGACAAACAGTCTAAGAGCAGCAAATTAAAAAGGGATGGAGACTTGTCAGGGAGCAGCTGATGCACGTAAACTAACATCTACCTGCTCTTAACCTTTGGTCAGTGAATACTACATTGGAACAACTTAGTTCTGTTTTTTCATCCATCCCCTTTTTGACTTGCTGCAGCTTTTGTTTGCCCTTGTTCTTAGGGTTTTTACTGTTCTTCACAATAAACATAATCTCCATGTTGCTCTCAGCCCCTGTAGGCAGAAAATTAAAACTAACTCTGGTGTTAAAACTAACTCTCCATCATAATAACACGTCTGGCTTCCTTCAGACATGTATTCCATTTCACTGTCTGTTAAAACCTATGACAATGTTTGTTCCTTCTGATTGCTTTTTTCTGTCTCCTACGTGCCAGATCTAACTGTCCCTTCTCTACCCTACCAAACTTCAATCTCTGCACTCCAGGCTTCTTTTCATGCTTGATATTGTATAGTGATTGTCTGTGGAGCCTTTTTAAAGTGTGTCTTTTTCTTTTTAATCTGTAATTGGCACAGCTTTTTATAGCTTCAGGATAAGCTATTTTAATTGTCACTTTCCAATGTTTTTGTCTGTTTAACAGGGAAGAAGAAATATCTTGTGGTGGTCCTCTTTCTCAGAAGCAAGCAGAATATTTTCTTTCACAGCAGGTATGTTAGTCTTGGATACTGCTGAGCAAATATTTAAGTTAAGAGTTGTCTGTGTGTTCATGAATGATCAGCAAACATGTTTTCCTCAGACTTATTAGGAATCTATTGAATTTTATTTGTTAGCTGCTCACTGTGAGACCCTGAAAGTGAAACTAAGTGGCCATGCAAAGCACATGGCATGACTGAGTTCCTTGATGTTGAGTGCTGCTCAGTTTAGTTTCTAGTGTTACTGTTTATATCCAAAAATTCAAAATTTATGTTCAGTGAAACACTTGCCAGAACATCTACCTGCAGGAAAGAATAAATATTGGCTGAAACTAAAAGTCTGAATTATATGAAGTCTTGTGACTTTAGCAGCTTGTACCAATTTGCTATTACTAAAAAAAAGCATACAAAACTTAACATACATTTAAAGAAATAAAAATAATTGTTAAATGTTATTGGGCTTTTTGTCATCATCAGCCAGGTCTTGCTGGAATGCTGTTTTTTACATTGCTTCACTTTGTTACAAATTTGATTTACACTACAGCAGAATTGCATTTTCTCTTCATTCTAGATTTTTGTCTTATTTAAATTACCACACAGTATTTATATCTTATGTATATAAACTGTCATTTTTTCCCTATCTGAGACGCACAGTAGTCACTGATTTAACTGAAACTTGGAGTCTTATTCTTGTTCATTTAACTTTACCAGATTAACTGGAATCTTTCTCTTGCTTTTCCTGGGTTTGTTTGATTTGGGTTTTTTTATAGTGCCCCCCCCTCCCTCTTAAAAAAAACAACACTAAAATGTTTAGTTTTTTAGTCTGAATCTTTTTATGAACAGATGGATATACCAAAGCGTGTGTCCACCTCTCCATTTCCACCCCCGCTTCCAAAGAACGTAAAAAGCATACTTGATTTTTCATAGAGTTGATCTGTACGTGAACCTGCAACAGTGCGGGGTGGGGGTGATTGCAGTATTTTTTATGTATGCAATAAAAATATCAAATGAAAAAAAATCTTTTCAGTGTGGTTCTTAATAGTATAATTTTTAGTGCATTTAATTCTCTGAATTCTTTCCTTGGTTATTTGATTCTTGTGAGATTATTTAATACATGGGTGTCAAAGTTCTGGCCTGAGAAGCCCCCTTATCCAGCCCTAGGTGCTGGTCTTGGGTCTCATAGCTGACCCATGCAGCATGTGCCAGGCTGGCCCTGCAGCAATGCTTGTGCAATGTGTGGTGCCTCCCACGGCCAGTCTGGGGCCTGTCCAGTGAGCATCTTGGACTAGCTGTAATGTGCACAGTGTGCAGTACAATTCCAGAGTGGCTGGAGAATGCAACAGACATGGCGTATATCCCAGAATGGTCGGAACAGGCACCATATGCATCATGGGGCCCATAGCAGGCACCACAGGCTCTGGATCCAACATGTGGGGTGAGGGATGGAGTCTGTGGGCCCAGTCCAGCCCACAGACTGGCCCTGTACCACTCATTTAGCCTGTGGAGCCAGATGACAGGTGTTACTGATTTAAAGGAATTTCAGTTCAAAGAGTTTCTTTAGTTGTTGATTTGATTTTGGGCTTGGAAAGCTGTTTAACCTGAAAATGTGGGGCTTACTTTTATTCAGGGTGACACATAATCAGAACCATGTAGCATATTAAATAAGAGGTTCAATGCATTAAGTTACCAGAGACGCAAGCTGAATTATTCTTAATCTACTCCCTGATCGCTCCCACAGTGCTGTCCAAGTGACTATGGTCATTTTAAAGGTGAATGATTTAATATGACTTAGAGTAGAATTGCCTTTGGCAATATTTAAACATGACTGTAGGTGTAGTTTATGACACCTTCTTTGATTGGTTATGTAGTTAGAAAGATGAGAAATGGCTAACAATGTAATCTTGATATTTGCACTTCCCCAATCTTAGTTACCTAGTGACAATTTCTATTTTTATTCCAGGCTTCTTTATTAAAGAACGATGAGACAAAGGCTCTTACTCCAGCAGCACTGCAAAAAGAACTCAATAATTTGTTAAAATTCAATCCCGACTTTGCTGAAGCAGTAAGTGTATCTTCCCTTCAACCAAAATGCACATAGGGCAATTCTTTTGTATTTCTAAAATACAATTTATTTCTGGGGACTTTTGTACACCAGAATAAAGTGCTTAAGTTTTATCTAATAGTTTTGTATGTTAATATGGTGTTTCAGAATAGAAATCCTGAAGACACTGTCAAATTCAGCAGGGTGTTACAGTAGTCATTTAACTTCAAACAAGAGTAGTCCTGTTGGCTTCTTTAAGACTGTACAAGTGTATGCATGTAAGCACGTGCTTATGCTCCCTGCCGAACTGAACTGAGACTTGTCCTTCTGACACTAAGCTGTCTTGAGTAATTTAAAGAGTTATGTCCCTACATTTTTAGTAAAAAGACTGAGACATTGGTATTGGTGGAGTGTATACTGGGCATTGATTTCTTGTGAGACCCAGAAGTGAATTGCATACATGTATTCTGGACAGTAAAAACAAAATGTAGTTGCCAAAGTAATGCTCATTCTAGGCCTGTGCTGCCTCTTTTGCACGGTTCCTGGTCAAACGTGCTCCTGTTTGCAAAATAACCCTCCCCTCCAGCTCAGAAGCTTTTTTTTGAGTGAGATATCATGAAAAAAGTAATTTCAAAGAGCATGTCGTTAGTTCTGTTTTTAATTAAAGCTGACTTTGCTTTAAATTTTAGCATTATTTAAGCTACTTAAATAGTCTAAGAGTTCAAGATGTCTTCAGTTCAACACACAGCCTCCTTCATTATTTTGACCGTTTGATTCTCACTGGAGCAGAAAGCAAAAGTAATGGCGATGAAGGCTATGGCCGAAGTTTGAGATATGCTGCACTTAATCTAGCTGCACTGCATTGTCGGTTTGGCCACTAGTAAGTTAATTCATCTTTCTGATTGATTAAAAATAAATAAAAACAAGTTGCTACATCTGCTAGATGGACCTTTTCGTATGCTCTGAAAGTCAGTTGGGGCTGGGGAGGAGCATTCTGTAGTTCAGGGGCAAATGAAGGGGGACTGGCTTGGGAACTTTCTTGGAATCTTGGGCTGATTCTGATTTCCTTGTGGTCTCACGAAGAAATGAGAACGACGCTAAGGCTAGAGGTTCTTTTGATGTCTATTACAGTTGACATAAAAAGCCTTAGCATCTTTCTTTTTATTTCTAGTTCTTTTTATGTCTAGTTGCAGATCTACTACCCTGGGAAATTATTGCAGTTGTTTCCCAGGGTGGTAGATCTTTTACTTCACTTATCAGATGCAGGTCAGCAGGTAAGTGCTTATGTATCAGTTGAGATGTAAGTGCAGCTGCCCTCCTGTTACACTCAAACCAGCACTGGTTTGGGTAATTTGTGAAGAGGTCATTAGGATTTTAAAACAATGCTTTAATAATAAATAGAAAAAAAGCCTCTGGGCTACCAGTGTGCAAAGATAGTGATGGAAAGAGCTGGGTCAGGTAGATTGGAAGTAGAAACCCTCTATACCTGGGCATGCATTGCATCTATCAAAATAGTATCTGAAGTGCCTTTTGAACATGTATGTGTGATGGGAATCCTGGTAAGGGGCAAAAACTTGTAGATTCCGTTCTTGGTGAGAGAACCTTGTCTTAAAGCTAACACGGAAGTGGATTTAAGGAAATGCTGTCTTGTCTAACCTGTTTAATCAGAGCTCGCTTTGAAATAAGATACGCATAATTTAGATTAACATTATTCTCTTTTTATAATGCTGTATAAGATGTTAATGAAATATTAATGCTTTCTGTGTTTTGATTTGCTGATAGTCAACAGGCTGAGCTTGCTCTTCAGGAAGCCATCAGAATTGCACAGGAGTCCAATGATCATGTTTGCTTGCAGCATTGTTTGGTAAGACAGCCATGCTTTAAAGGGAGATAAATGGCCTGTCGTAGCCATCTGTCTCTCAACTCAATTAGACTTTTGATGTATTTGCTGTAGCTGGGTCTAGCGTTTGGCAGTAATTAAATGTCACTTCCCCACCTTGGGATGATGCTTTGGTTGTTAGTGCCGTAAGCAGTAAATCTGGGTGAGCTATCCTTGAAGCAGTGAACTTCAACGTACTAACTGGAACTTTCTGAATGGGCATCGTGCACCCCAAATCATGCAATGCTGGGAAATTTATTTTCGCACTTTTAAGAGGTCTGTTCAAGATAAGTCATAGAAGCTTGTTTTCAAGCTCCCCTCTGTGCAGTGATTATGTGTAAATCTCCCATCCAGCCAATGACAAGGGAAAGAATTAAGTGCTTCTTTCTCTAGAAAGACACTGTCTGACTAGATGAAGCTTTTATTTTACCGTTTTGTAGATTCTGAAATTTAGCTTTTCTAAGCAGTATGTTGTTTTGAGGTAGGAGTAAAAGCTTCTCATAGTTTGCAGCAGTGAATAAACTCCAGTTAGGTTAATTGTGTCAGTGTCTCAGATGTGTAACAGTATAATAGTTTCTACGTTTTTACTCTGAAATCTCCAGTGTTGGCCACTGTTGCAGCCAGAACTCCAGGCCAAACAGAACACTGGTCTTTTCTGCTGTGTCAGTTCTTAATGCAGGTTCCATTTTTATGTGACTTCTAGAAGTTTGTATTGCAATGAGATTTGTACCCTTCTTAATAGATGCCTGAAAATGTTTTGTATTATATTAAGCAGCATATCTCTGCAATGACATTTAACTTCTTTTCTAAACAGAGTTGGCTATACATCTTGGAGCAGCAGAGTTCAGATAGCTGTGTTCTGTTAGAACACTCTGTGAAAAAAGCTGTTCACTTTGGATTGCCTGTAAGTCTCCTGTTTTGTTTCAAAATCTGTCTCTTTCTCTCCCTTTAAACATTCATGACCTGGCATGGGAGGCAGAAAATGAACATAAGACTGTGTAGTGAGCAGGCTGCCTTGCAAGATCTGAGGATCCAGTCTGTAACTTCAGATTGCTAGGGCTGAGGAAGAAAAATCCGGATGAGGCAGGGAGCAGATGGGACAAGGGAGAGGGAGCTAATCATATAGCTGGTATGCAGAGTGCAGGAGGTCTGATCAGTATTTGGGGGAGTGAGGAAAAAGAGGGAAAGCTCTAGAAGCAGAGCATAATCATTGGAAGGATTCAACTTGAACCCCTTCCCTCCCACCACCTGTTCCACTATGGAATGGGAGCCTAGAGTATCCCTTTCATCCCTTAACAAGGTGACATTCATATTGTTACATATGGAGAAAGGTGGAAGTTTTGATAACTTATTCTTTCTGCTTTGTTAGACTTTGTTGCCTGGCAGCTTTACCGTCCTAATTTTGTTTTTCCATCCCTCCTAGTACCTAGCTTCCCTGGGAATACAATCCTTGGTCCAGCAAAGAGCTTTTGCAGGGAAGACTGCCAACAAGCTAATGGATGCCTTAAAGGACTCTGATCTGTTGCATTGGAAACACAGCCTGTCAGAGCTTATTGACATTAGTATAGCACAGAAAACTGCCATTTGGAGATTATATGGTCGCAGGTATTTTCTCTCACCAAAGTCTAGTTCTGCTGCTTATAGTAGTTTGTTACCGTTGTAAGCAAGTGATGCTCTTGTTGACTTCTTGACAACCGTACAAGTGACTGCTTCTCTTCAGTGTGCTAAGTGAGGCATCAACAGATGCTGGGGCTGGTTCTTCCTGGTCCTGCTCATTTAACTCCTATGTTAGAAGATAGATTTCATCATCCTCTTATAGCTGTAATTTTAATTTCCTTGTTTATTCAGCCTTAGCCAGACAAAAAGCTTCTGTATGTGAATGCTTTGATGTGGATTTATGGTCTTTTCATGAGCACTTTCAGGCCTTGCATAGTTTGGAATTCCGGGGGGAAGGAGGGGAAATAGTTTAGCTTTTGTTTTATGGCTCGAGCATAGATTAGAACTACTGCATGAAAGTAAATTATGGTTTTCCTCTCTCTAGCACCATGGCTCTTCAACAAGCGCAGACGCTGCTGAGCATGAACAGTTTGGAATCTGTAAATGTGGGTGTCCAGCAGAATAATACGGAATCCTTTGCTGTAGTGTTGTGTCACCTGGCTGAGCTACATGCAGAGCAGGTGAGCTTCATAGTTAATTGCACAAAAAAAAGTTTGCAGGGGCAAGTGGGGATGCTTCACAGGCCTGTGGCAAGCTGAGTGACATGTGGCAAGGTGTGTGTATTTAGAGTTATTTTTCCTATCTCCAGCCTACATGGATGAGGTGGAAGGAAATCTTAGTATTTTTCTCTTAGCAACTTCTTGTTTCTAGGGGGGTTAATTTTGTCTTAAGGAGCGCTTGCATGCTTATCACAGTGCTGTTTCTCTGTTGTAGGGCTACTTTGCAGCTGCTTCTGAAATATTGAAACACTTGAAGGAAAGATTTCCTCCCAATAGTCAGCATTCACAGGTAACCTGTGGTCTATACTACTTAAAAAATAATAATAAAAAAAAAGTTGTGCGCCAAGTTTGTGTCTGTGGCAGAAGGATCAGAATTCCCCTTCATCCTAATTCCTTCTGTACTTCATCTGTATAAACTGTGTTTAGAGCACATTTGAATAGTCTCCACATAAATCCTCTCACTAATGGGGAAGCCACAAATTCACGCATAGATTTGAAAGCTATGAAAATTAACTATGTCACCATTTGAGTGGGGAGGGATTTTCGTCAACATCTTGGATTGAAAAGCAGTGTTTATCATTTTTTCCATGCCTTCTATTCCTATGCAGACTCTGCAACGTTTTTTAACTCATAATACATAAGGGGTATTAGATCTTGAAACACATTCTAGTTTCTGCACTGTAAAAGGAGTTCTATTTCTTCAAAACAACAAATGAAGACGTATTTGTACTGCTTCTCCAGTAAATAAAAGGGTAGTCAGCTGTGTTTAAAAGTAGCATATGTGTTTCATTTTTGGATCACAAAATGCATGTACGCCACTATTTATGCCTGGACCTTCTCTGTTTAGCTGTGGATGCTGTTTGATCAGAAAATACAGTTTGATAGAGCCATGAATGATGGCAGATACCACATTGCTGATTCTCTTGTGGCAGGAATTACAGCACTTAATAGCATCGAAGGAGTGTACAGGTAAGAAACCACAAACCTGCAGAATAGCATTTAATAATATCCGATTAAAATCTTTAACAATGAAATACAATGCTTGCTGGGAATAAAATGTTTACCTACACATCACTTTCTACTGGTTGCTATATAATGCTTTTTGCCTAGTTCTGCTGTAAGTATACTAATATATAGTGTATTTTGATAATACCATTCTATCCATTCCACTAGGGCTTTGAAGCACTGGCTAGCTTAGTGGCTATAAAATGCTTTAACTGGTGTAGCATTACCTAAACATGAATGTATACATTGTAGGTCTGCTGCTTTCAGAATGTATCAATGTGTCCATTTAAAATCAAAGTGTAATTCTGGATTTGTATGAAATCATCAGGAGACCAAAAGCCTATCTCTGTCTGCAGTGTGACTCTGTGCAAGATTGCGTTGCCTCAGCTTTGGTTTTCCTATCTAAAATGGGGGAGGGCCCCCATTTTCCTTCCATAAAGGGTGCTTAAAGTATGTGTTGAGTTTTCTGGAACAAATGTGTGCTTATAAGGACTAAGTCTTGTTTATACAAAACATCTTTGCCTGCTCCAAAGTGTAGTTATGAAACAATTCTACCCAAGCATGTGCAAGTGTGGGAGGAGAGCTCTAACATACCGGCGTGCATTATAGTGCACCCAGCAGCAGAACTGAGACCAAAATATAGAAATCTGGTAAGTTTTTATTTGTCTTGAATTGCAGAAAGGCCATTGTATTGAAAGCCCAAAACCAGATGTCAGAGGCACACAAACTCTTACAGAAACTGTTGACACACTGCCAGAAGATAAAGAATACTGAGATGGTGATCAGGTAGGAAAAACATGGAATAGTACTTGACACTGATTTAACCTCAGCAGCCATAACTGGGACAGTTTGGGCACCTATAGACATGCAGCGAGTCTGCTCTGATGCGCTGTGATTATAGCGTATCAGAGCAGACTTGATTAATCGAGTCTGCTGGAAAGTTCCTTGTTCAAACTTTAGTTAAGCGCCTCCGCCACCAGTTTTCAGTGCAGGGATCCTGATACATGTGACTTCCCTCCTCCCCCCGCTCCCGTATGTGTAAATGCCCATGAATTCATTAATCTGTAGATGATCACTGCTTGGACTAGGAAATATTTCCATCTTTAATAAACTTTGTTGGTAGTATTTCATTTTACTACCATAGAAATGGAAACAATCACTGCTCAGCTGAATGAACTTGCTGTTTGTAACTGTTTTTAAAGCAAATGATTTGGAAATAGTACCTAATCATGCATCTCTGTACTCAAGAGACTGAAAGCTTTTGTATTTGGAACAGTCTATGATAGCTTCCATCATCATGAACAATGCAATTTATGTATCTGTATTTTAAATTGTGAATGATGTGAAAGTTACATTTGTTTTCAGCATTTTGGGTATTTTTGAGATTTAACGATATTGTAGAGCTCAAATCTAGTCATCAACACTTCTTTTTTGCATCCCTTTCCCTTCCTCCCCCCCCAACCAGCACCAAACTGAAAGAAGCATCAGGTAGTGAAACTTCCACGAGTTTCCAAGTTGAGAGTTTTTGGAGCTACAGTTTCCCTTAAGGGCAAAGAAGAGAAGGAAAGGTCCATGAAAAGGAAATTATTTTTTATTTAAAATAAGACTAGCTTAAAAAAAATCTGTTTAAGTATTACTTCTTACAATAGTATTAAATGTTATCTTAAAAAGGGAATGCCACTAACTGACAAAATATTTTGTTGCACACTTGGTATTGTAAAGGAAAAATATCATTATGGGTAGATAACACGCTGCTGTTTGTCTCTGATGTCCTGAGGGAAACATTTGAAGTTTTACATGAAAATAGTGGCTTTTTTTTTTCTCTCCTCCCTCCCACAACCCTGGCCCTCATCAGCGTACTTCTGTCAACAGCAGAACTCTATTGGAGATCTTCATGTCATACAATTGCACTCCCTGTCCTGCTCCAGGCTCTTGCTCTTTCTCGAGAATACAGTCTACAGTATTTGGCCTCTGAAACTGTCCTGAATTTGGCTTTCTCTCAGGTAGGTTTGAGTCCTGATTTCACAGGCTCCTAAATTTAAGCTGTAGATTCAGCTACCATTGCTACTGCTCTTTGGATTTTAAGAATTTTAATGTGGCAGGATTATTCAGTTGTTGATTTGCATGTCTAAAATCTTTCAGGAAAATGTATGAAAACTGTGTTCATTTATCATGTCTTCAGTTTCAGCATGTTACACTCACATTTCATGAATTGTTGCTGCCTTCCCTTCTATTGATAGCCAATAAACTGATATAAAAACTTCACATAAGCACAAGGCACTGACACTGGAATTTAATACTAGTTAAAGGCTGTGTGCGCACTGGACAGATGGGGGTTCTGGTTGCCGGTCGTGTGGAAGGAGTATTTAATAAGGAGTTTTCTTGTTCCTACTGTCATTTGCTCTAGCATCTCCTTCTGTTAATGAGCTTTGATTTTAAAAGAAGATTGTAGGGAGAACCTAAAAACCTTCTCTGCACTGATATACATACATTGACTTATCTGAACATGGATGTGGCATGCAAGTGGCTTGTGTTTCCTCCAGAAGAAGCTGCTATTTTCAGTGGACACCTGTTTCAGTGTTTTTCTCTTTCAGCTGATTCTTGGTATTCCTGAACAAGCTCTGAATATTCTGCATATGGCGATAGAGCCAATTTTGGCTCATGGGGCAGTACTGGACAAAGGCTGTGCCATGTTCTTGGTGGCCAAATGTCAGGTTGCTTCTGCAACTTCCTATACTCCCCAGAAGAAGGCAGAAGGTAGAGTGAAGAATAATTCTATTTATACTTTTTTCACTTTTGAATGGACTGCAAACAAGTATAGATACTTGGGTCTCAATAATATATTTCAAGACAATATTACATGGCAGGATCAGGGCCTAGGTCTGGACTAAAAATTCTGTAAATACTGAATCTTTTTTACAAGGTCAATAGAGCCTTGCTTATCTGCACAATTTGCTCACACCTTGCAGCAAAACTTGAAAAGCGGGGGCTGTAGTTGAATGGAATTGTTGCTAAGAGACCATTATTTTTTTTTCAAAAGAAATTATAGAATGTCTTCTAGTATGTCTTGAACTTGCTAATTTAGAACATTCAGTAATTCATAATGGGATCCCCAGGAACAGGGTTATATTGCATGTAGTTTTTACTTTACCACTATTTTAAATACTGGACTTCCTCTCCCTTTTGACAGCTCTGGAATCGGCTATCCTGAATCTAAATGAAGCCAAGGTTTATTTTGTGAAAGTGGACTGCAGAGAACAACTCAGAGATGTTCTTTATTTTCAGGCCAGACTCTTTCACACCTTGGGCAGGATGCAAGAAAGAAACAAATGTGCTATGCTCTTCCGTCAACTGCACCAGGAGCTGCCTGCTCATGGGGTCCCATTAATAAATGCTTTTAAGTGAGGTATTTAAAGCTGAGTTTTGTTTCGTTGTTCCTGACTGTTTTTTCCTCCCTTTTTCAAGCATTTTTATTATGTTCAGTCATTGCGGTTTTGGAAATAACTGCCAATAAACTGTTCTTCTGCTTAACAAACTTGTGTTCTGCTTATAATGAATGGTGAAAAGTTTGCAACCATCTCACTTCTACGCTTTAGACACAAAAGACTACATTTTTCTTTATTTACAAATACTGTACCTTCAGTGATACAAAGTAGCACTACTTGGTCAATAGTAAAGAATGTACAAAGTATTCCTATTGTTACTAATAGGAGTTGCACACTGAATGTAAGATTTATAAATGCAAACAGCATAAAGAAATTAGTGTATAATTTGTAGATATGAGCTCAGCTGCCTTGTGCTAATGTTAACTTCTCTGATTGTGGAATTACATTTAAAATATGTTCATGTACTTGCATTTCACCTGTTTATGGGCACTTGTTAACATCTGGAAACTACTGGTATTGGCAGAAGGGAAAACATAGAAACCTATTGATGCTACTAACCGTCTTGAATTTAGAAACATCCCTGTGCAAAGCATAGTGGGAAGAAATAAAACATGGTAAAATTCATTTTGGTGCAAGAAGGAACCTGTATCAGTTTAAACAAATATTTTATTGCACACACATTAATAAGCATCCTTGAGAAGCAGTGGGAGGGTGTGTACACATGACTTGCTTATGTCTGACTGAACTAAGACAACCCCAACTTGGAGCCTAGTTCATTACCAGTGATCTGTGGGAGTTGGGTCCTACCAATAACAACCTTTAAAATTAATCTTTTGTTGAACTGCATATATGTATGTATAAGCTCAGTGTACATGCATGTGGCTTACCTGCAGTGCATGGCAGATGCACACTTGCATTGGAGGGAGAGGAGGCAGCATGATCTAGGGAGTGCATTGCACTGCACTGCACTGCACTGCACTCAGTTTGGGAGACCTAGGTGTTATTCTTGGCTTTTTATTCTGTGCTTCTACCTAAGGATTCTGCTGCTGGAGGTTAAGAACTAACTGTTGCTAATCACCACAAGTAAGACGAGAACTTAAACTCCTGGTTCTTGCAGTTACTCACATCTATAACACCATACATCAAGACTTGCCAGCTTAATTCCATGTAGTCTAGTTTTGCTGTACACATCACCTAAATGCATCTGCCTTGCGCTGCAGATGCTGTCTGATAACCCAGTCTCTCAAAACTAAAACAGCAGCTGTGTTTCAAACGGTATAAAGGGGATTGGTTTCACACAGGAGCCTTTCCAGGATCTCTTTGCAATCAGTGCTTTGGCCACTGACCTCCTTCCACTTACACTAATCAATCCCTTTCATGGGATTGATTAACCCTCAGTCTAATCCCATTAAACAGTTTGGAGCACCTCCTAGTATATGCTTTTATAAGTCAGTTTGATTTCTCAGCTATAATAGTTAAAAGCTGCTTGTCAAAATATGACAGCCGCAATAAAAATTGGCCTGGCTGCCTGCTAAGCTGAATTACTGGTATTGTGACATGGGAATGGGGGAAAGTCTAAGCTCTTGAAACAATGCCTCCGAAGGGGCCTGAAAGCAAAGCTAATGCAGCCACACTGTTGGCTCGGCATAGGAAGTCACTCTGAAGCTCACCTGTATTTCCAAATGAGGTGTTCACGCTGGGACACTTGATTGGATCTTTTACAGTTTAACCAACTTCTAAATGTTATTTTAAATGGGGAATGTTTGACAAGAAAATAAGTAACTTTTAAAATTAACAAAGCAGGGAGAAGACATTATGAAGGGCTGGTGCCAGACTTGGGAGTCGTAGGGGGTATTTTATGATGTGATTACCTGGTATAGTTGCACTAATGGAAATAGGAAAAGTTCATAAACAACTGCTGTTGGCTGGTTTAATAATTTAAAGGATGGCTCCTTAGCGAAATAACTCTCTGTTTTGTAGTTCCCTTTATCTGATGGTCTTGGAAGCGCTTTGCAACCATTTTAATAAAGCTTCAGCAGATCCTCAGCAGGAGAGGTAAGCAAGAGATTGCAAGGGCCAAGCTGTGGCTGACAATCTTTGCATAATTAGCAGTGTGTGTGGAAGAGGGAGGGTGTTTAAAACATTTTGATAATGTACAAAACAATCTTGCCTCTGTTCTTTTTATATTATCTGTGTTTTGGCATTTATGGCATTATCATTTTCGTAAGCAGGTTTAATTATGTTTCATTAAAGTGAAGTGCATGTAGAAAGTGCCACCAGGTGCTGCCAAGTTCTAAGCAACTGTCCAGTGACAAAATGTCAGTGAATGCACACTGCTGAAGTCTCCAGTGACCTACAGTAGACTGTACGTGGTTACGATGCTTGTGCCTTTAAATCTGTTGATGGCCAAAGAAGCTGTAGGTGGAAGAGATTTGCAGGACTGGGACCCTGTTCCAGTCCCTCTCTTACCATGACTTTTGCTCTGCTATGATGAGATCTAAACTGTTTCTTAAAAATATGGTCTATTCTGGCACTTTGGGGAGACTGGGTCTGGGTAACAATTCATCCGTTCCCAAATGTCGCTGGCTGGAAGCTGGGGTCAGAGGCTTCCATACTTGCGGTGCTCAGCGCTCTGTGCGGGCTGGCGTCCAGGTGTCCTGGCTCTAACACTGGCACTTTTTGGGGGGTCCTGGGGTGTCTCAGAGAGGCCTTTTGGAGCACTGAGAGGGGGTGAGGCGGGATGCCGCGGGGGCTGCCTAGACCTGGACCCAACCCCTGCTAAATGCTCGGTGGCTGCAGTCCGGTTGCCCCAGGTGGCAGCTGCGGGCGGTTGGACACGGGTTGCCGGTCTCCCTCGCAGTCGTGCAGCGGGCTAAGCCTTGCTGGGCTTGAAGCTGCGCTTGCTCCCATCCCTGCCGGCCGAGAGCAGCGGGGGTGCAGCCCAGGCCCTGCTGCAGCCGGGCTGCGGCGGGGCTGAGCAGCACCATGCTCCGGCTTCCCGCGCCGCGCCACTGCCGCCCGGCAGCAAAATTGAAAGCAGCGAGCTGGGCGGTGGGGAGGCCTGCGCAGCCCGCACATCTGGGCCGCGCCAGTCTGACTCGGGCTTTCTGGGCCGGAAAAGCT